GCAGTGACCCAGGAAGACCCCTCTGTCTCTTCCTCGGGTGAGGTTTGGAGTGTCTACCTTCCCAACGCATACAACTGGCCTGGCACCCATTCGTGGCACATCCACCCATGGTCCTTGAGGGCAGGTCCCTTTAACAGTGAGATGGCCTGGGGTAGGGGTAAACCTGGTACCTGGCAGCAACCACTTTGGACCACTTCTTCCTGCAGCGCCAGGAAAAGCAAAGCAGTAAGGCCTCGAACTACAGAGGCCTGCCGTCTGCCTTCCCTCTTCCCGAAGGTGGAGGCGGCCTCAGGACTCCTGGCTGGGACACCAAGCTCCAGGCTGGCCCTTTCTCCAGTGGCCACATCATCCCTCTGCCCAAGTGCCATCGACAGACGTCCATGAACTTCCCAGAGTCCTCATAGTAGACTTGCAGGTGACCTGGAGGTAACCTCAGTCCCTCCATGTGCTTCCAGAATATAACCCCAACTCACAGCTCAGGACCCATCCTCTCGCCCCCGTCCCCACATGCCCACACTTCAACACAGGGCCTCCTGCTGCCCTGCATTTCCTCTTTCCCTGCTGCTCCTGCAGGTCCCTCCTCAGCCAGAGGGTCCTGAGAAAGGGCTCTTTTCCAGAGAGACCTTCCATGTGCAGTGCGTTTTCCAAAAATGGCCAGAGCAACACATGCTCTTTCATCCCCTAGGCTCCGGGCAGGCCGTTTTAACTCCTGGGAGGATGCTGACGGAGAGACACTGACAGTTCCTCAGGCTTCCACCTGGCTCGCTCTGAGCACCTGGCTTCTCTTTTCAAGCACTGAGGACCCTCCCTGGAGACCCATGGCCCTGAGCACCATGGCCCTGGCCTCTGCCCTCAACACCTCTTTTTCCAGCTTTCCCTGTCCTCCTCCCAAGTCAAGGCCTGTACAAAGGCCACTTAGCATGGCTTGCCCCCAGAATGGACCCTTAGCACTGCCTTGCAGGCCTCCCTATGGTTTCTGCTCCGAGTGATGCAAATGCACCAAAAATTGTAACTACGTGGAGAAATAGAAAAGACTTCTTAAAAAATCTCTTTAAAAGTAACTGCCCGCCGGAACCGGTGTGGCTCAATGGATAGAGCGTCGGCTTGGGGACTGAAAGGTCCCGGGTTCAATTCCGGTCAAGGGCATGTACCTTGGTTGCGGGCATATCCCCAGTAGAGGGTGTGCAAGAGGCAGCTGATCGATGACTCTCTCTCATCAATGTTTCTAGCTCTCTATCTCTCTCCCTTCCTCTCTGTACAAAATCAATAAAAATATATTTAAAAAATAAAAATAAAAAAAAAATAAAAAGTAACTGCCCATTTAAACAAATGACAAGGATCAGTGTGGGACTTATAACACATAGAAGAAGAAAGTCTGACAATAGCGTCAGGCTCAGGAGGGAGAAGTGGAGATCCCAGATATCACTGTAAAGTTCTTGTACAGATACAAAGTGGGATGACATCACTGGCAGGTGTGTTGTGATAAACTGAAGATGTATACTGTCAACCCTAAAGCAGCCACTCAAATAATAATAAAGTAACTAGGTCAACAACAAAGGAGATATGTTAAAATAAAAAAATATTCAATTGATCAAAAAAAGAGAAAAGACTGAACAGAGGACAGATGGGAATTTATAAAATAATTAGTAAGGTCACAGATTTAAACCTAACCATATCAATAAGCACCCAAATGTAAATAGTCTAAATACCCAATTTTTAGAGAGAGAGAGGGGAGAGGGGGAGAGAGAGAAACAACCATTGGTTGCCTCCCATATGAACTCTGACCCAGGAAAGAACCCATTACCTGGGCATGTGCCTTGACTAGGAATTGAACCAACGACCTTTTGGTGCAAGGGATGGCCCTCAACCACCTGAGCCACACCAGCCAGGGCATGAAGTACTCTTTAAAGATAAAGACACGATTATGATTAAAGTAAAAACACCAAAAAGAGAAACCATGCTAACATGGTCAAAAGGAAACTGGAGTCTCTATTCTAATATTAGACAACGTTGACGTCAGAACCAAGAAATTAAAGCAATAAAGACTACTTCATGTTGATAAAGGAGTCAGTTTGTCAAGAGGGCATAACATTCTTAAACATTTATGAACCTAATAATGAGTGAAGTAAAAACAAATAGAACCATAAAGAGAAATAGACAAACTCACAGTTACTGTTAAAGATTTCAATACCCCTCTCTCAATCACTGATGGAACCAGTAGGCAGAAAATCATCAACGATACAGTGACGGGTGCATATCAACCAACATAACCCAAGTGACACTTACTGACCTCCCCCCTTACTCCCCCAAGCAGGACAACAGAACACTGACTAATACAGGCTATATTTGGGGCCATAATATAAGTCTCAATAAATGTAAAAGGACTTGTGTGAGACAAAGTGTGTTCTCTGACATGGGAATAAACGGAAAATCAATACAGAAACATCCCTGGAAAATTCCCAAGTAAATACACTTTAATTCAGGGCTAAAGAGGAAATCAAAAGGGAAATTCATATTTGGAATTGAGTGAAAATGAAAACATATCAAAACTGTGGGATGCCAGCCCTAACCATTTTGGCTCAGTTGATAGAACATCAGCCTTCGGATTGAAAGGTCCCAGGTTCCATTCCAGTCAAGGGCATGTTGTACCTTGGTTGTGGGCACATCCCCAGTAGGAGATGTGCAGGAGGCAGCTGATCGATGTTTCTCTCTTATGGATCTCTCTCCCTTTCCCTTCCTCTCTGTAAAAAAATCAATAAAATATATTAAAAAACAAACAAACAAAAAACTGTGGGATGCCACTAACGCAGTACTTAGTGGGAAATCCATAGTACTGGGTGTTACACTAGAAAGGAAGAAAGGCTTTGCCATCATTTCAGGGGAACACCTGGGATGGGGATGGGCACCAGCCTGAGCATCTACAAGCCTCAAGAAGGACCAGCTGTGCCCAGCCTCCGGTCCACACACCTGGCTGGCCTGCTCCTGGGTTCTGCTCTTTGTCCCACCTGGTAGCCGGGGACAGTGTCTAGGCTCCCTTTACACATGGGACATGGGTTTTTGAGCCCAAAGCCTCCATAGGACAGAAATGGGGTCCCTTCTCACCCCTACCACCCCATGCTCCATCTCCCATCCCAGGGCCTCTTCTGGCCAGTCCCCCATCCTCAGAGGCTGGAGATACTGCTGTGCTGGAGGCTGTTTGCACTGAGCATTGGGTCTGTGTTCTCATGGCCAAACCTCCCTCTTTTCCCCCCTAGGGGCTCTGCTCCACCTGCATCCTCCCTTCCTCCCTCCTCTACTTCCCCGTGGTGCCATGCCAGATAGGGGCTTGGTCAGCACCAGCCCAGCTTTGTTCTCTTCAGGAGGGTCAGACATTAATTCAGACACCCACAAGGAAGGGCAAGACTGACAAAGGTTGGCACCCCTGCCTGGCCCTGACACCCCATCCTTCCCTTTTGCCAGCCAGGCTACAGCTCAGGCACCCACTCATCCACCCAGACACCACCTTCCCAGAGTCCTGAGCGGATGTGGGGCAGGCTGGGGCAGCTGGCTGTCATCCTTATTAAAATTCTTCTTCAAACACTCCCGTGAGTGGCCTGCTAAAGATAAACTACCAGGAGAGAGACCTTCAAAGAAAATGCTTTAATGATGCAATTATCTTCAATCAACTCAGAACATCTTTATTACATTAGTAAGGGGCAATCCATCTTGGGATATAGAAAGAGCTGATCCTGCAGCAGACACCAGGCCTGGCCCTGGAGCAGGCCGGAGGGCCCCTTTCAGCCTTGCTTGTACATTTGCATGGAGAAAAAAAAAAAAACTTTCTAATTGAATTTTTCTGGCTGAGCTAGACGGTTACACTGTCCCCAAAAGCTGGATTTCATTAAGGCAACGTTAGTTTCTCAAAAATAAATATAAATGGGTTTAGGTTGCCGTTTCTGTGCTCTGGGATATTAACAAGATAGTAAGTCGTTACCCACAAACCAATCTCACGGTTTATTCGAAAACTCAAGGGGAGATTGCCGAGGGGCGCCTCCTCTTGTAGCACGCAAGAAAGGTTTTAAACCAAAGGTTGGTCCAGTTTTGGAAAAAGAATCCGAGGAGGCACGGGTTTCTGTCGGGCCAGGTCCCGGGTCTCAGGACGATTTTCCGAGCAAGTGCGGGGCGAGAGAGACTGAAGGCGAACCCAACACCCAGAGGCGGTCTCTGCGCTCCTGCCCAGGCGCCCCTCAAGGGTCCCCAGCCCGGCGGGCGGCGGAGGCGGGTGGGAGGCTCGGCCCCGTCATCTTCCCCTAGCTCCCCACCGGCTGCTCCTAGAGCCGGGCCTGGAAGCCCTGGCAGCGGGAGCGGCAACTCCTGACCCCAGGACGCTCTGCAGCTACAGGTGCGTGAAAAGCGCTCAGAGGCGAGGGCACCTCGGCCTGCTTCAAGGCCATGGTGGCGTGGAGGAAGCCCAGTGTCCAGTCTGCGTGCGGGGTCCGTTCAATGGGTCCCCAGGGCGAGGCGAGAGCGCCTGGGCCAGAGTAGGCACGTGCCTCGGGTTCCAGGTTAGGTTGGGGCGCAGCGGGAAGAACAGCCTGGGGTCGGGGTGCAGCGGGAAGAACAGCCCGCGAGGGACTGTCAAGGGCGGGTGCTGGGACCACGACAGCGCCCCGTGGCCATTGGCCCCCTGTCCACCCTTCGGAGTGGGGAGGCCGGGTCAGCTCCGGGTGCTCCCGGGAACCTCAGCAGCCTCCTGGACAGCAGGAGGTGGCCGGGCACGCTCCGGTGCCAGGCGGCTGCCCCGCCCTCCCCATCCTTCCGCCCCCGGGGTCAGCAAAGCCAATGGCCGCCAGGGCCAGGCGACAGCGGCCGAGGCGATTGGACCGCGGCTCATGAAAAGGACGCCGCCTTTTTATAGGGTGCGGAGGGCGGGGCGCCCCCGAGTCCCCGGCAGCCGCACGCCTGCTGCCCCCGCGACGCGCCCGCCGGGCCCCGCACGCCCCGCGCCCGCCAGCCTGCGCATGGCCCCGGCGTCGCCCGCCATGAACCCCTCCGGGCTCGGGGCGCGTGGCGGGGACGGCGCGGGGCCCGGCCCGCTGCCCTTCAGTGTGGAGTCGCTGCTGGAGGCGCAGCGCCGGCTGGGCCCGGAGCCCGCGGCGCCCCGGGAGGAGGAGAGGCCGCGGGGCGCGGCGGAGTCCGGGGCCAGGTGCCCGCCGGCCGCCCGCCCGTCCTCCCCACGTAAGTGTCCGGTCGCGGGGTCCCGGGCCGAGAGGGGGCCCGCCTGGGGCAGCTCCAAGGAGCAGGGCGGGAGGGGCGCTGTGGCTTCTAACTTGGAAAAGGAACCAGCCACTCGCCGCCCGCCTTAGGACCGAGAGAGGAGCCAGCCCACCCACCCGAGCCCCGGGGCCCACGCCCCGCAGCCGCTCCCGCGCCCCACACAGCTGGGTTCTCACTGTCCCTGGGCGCGGAGTGGGCACCCCAAAGCCCCGAGGCTTCTTGGAGCCCCGGCCGCCCCCGGACGGCGAACTTCCGCTTCGCCAAGCCCCCCTCTCTGCGCTCCCCGCCGCTATGGAGGCGCCTCCAGCACAAGCTGCTCGCCTCTCCCAGTGGGCAGCGTTCCCCTGCTCCCGGGGGTGCGGGGTCGTGGATTTGGGGAGCAGAGCCCCGAGTCCACAGTGTCCCGCCCCCTACAAGCACTGTCTCCCGGGTGCCTGGCTTATCTTACCCCTGTGGCGCTTGGGGTCTCATCTCCGCGATCACAGAGCCCGAGAGGGGATCCGAGAGCGTCGGAAAGGGGAGCGCAGGGCCCGGGGCACCCAATGTGATGTGTGCTTCCCTCCCCTCCCAGGCTCCCCCAGTCCTCCGCCCTGCACCCTCCGAAAACACAAGAACAACCGCAAGCCGCGGACGCCCTTCACCACGGCGCAGCTGCTGGCGCTGGAGCGCAAGTTCCGCCAGAAGCAGTACCTGTCCATCGCCGAGCGCGCCGAGTTCTCCGGCAGCCTGAGCCTCACCGAGACGCAGGTGAAGATCTGGTTCCAGAACCGCCGCGCCAAGGCCAAGCGGCTGCAGGAGGCCGAGCTGGAGAAGCTGAAACTGGAGGCCAAGCCGCTGCTGCCCGCGTTCGCCCTGCCCTTCCCCCTGGGCGCCCACCTTCCCGGCTCCCCGGGCGCTTACGGCGGCGCCGCGGGCACCCTGCCTCCGGTGCCAGGACTCTTCGCAGCGCCCGTCACCGCTTACGGCGTGTATTACCTCTCCTAGGGGACTCGGGCACACGCCTGGCCAGGTGGTGGCCTGGGGGGCCGCGGGGGAGGGAGGCGCAGGACAGGGCGAGCTGGGTACCCCAGTTCTCCAGGCAAACCTCCTGCGTCCCATCGGTCTTTTTTTGTATTGCTTTTCAGGATTTTGTTGTTGATACAATGTTATTATTGATGCCTCAAGCCTATTTGTGGGTATCTTACAGCTATTTAAGAACTTTAAAAAATCATGTTCGTTCTAGACACTTTGCTGAAAGACAGTGAACATAGTTTCGTACGGTGGCTGGACATGGGCTGGGTGGAGCTTCCATTTGTACAGGCAGCCTATAAAGCATTCTGGAGTTTCCTCTGTGAGACCTCCCTCCGACGCAGCCGGCTCCTCTCAGAAGGATTCGCCAGACTGTCTTGGGGCAGCAAGAAGGGGATCCTGCAAAAGAAATGAAAACAGTTTGACACCAGGAATACTGAAATGAAGCGCACTGATTACTAACGAGTGCGTTGCCATCGTGGCAGAATGGAAACTTTCACTCGTAGTTGAGGGGATTTTTTCCATATGTTTTTTATTGAAGCTTGGGGTAAGGTGCTGTCTGTGGACCGTGTGTCTGTGTATGTGTGGGGACGTGGGTGTGTGTCCACGCAGAGAGGCAGGATGGTCAAGGAGCTGCAGATGGGCATGGAGAGCAGGCTGACGGTGTGCACCACACGCCCTGCCCCCTGGGCTCCCCAGGGACCCTGGACTGTGGTAGGCTGGGAGCAGGAGGAGTTGCTAAGGCTCAGGGTCCTTACAAAGGGCATTGGCTAACTCGGCCAGGATGGCTGGGGACCTGCTGGTCCTCCTGCTCTGCTTCTTTGCAACATGCTGTCAGCTCAGGTCTCCAGGGCCGGAGGGAGGAAGGGGCGGGTCTGAGCCTTCCTGAGGCTTCTCCCAGCTGCCTCAGCTCTCCTACTAGACCCTGCACTGAGACTGACCAGGTGCCTGGGGCAGGTGGAAGCCCCCTGGGCCATTCAGCCTGATCCTCCCTGTGGGCGGCCCCTGACTTCACCTTGCCTCCCAGCTGTCGCCAGGCCCTGGAGGTGACCATAGGGAGGGGACCTGGGCCCCTTTCCCTGGATCACTGGTGCTGGCTCTCCCGGGCCTGCCCCTCAGTTTTACTCACTCAGGGGGCTGAGGAGGTGCTGCCCCATAGGAAACAGCCACAGGGAAGTCCCAGAAGTAGTGATGATAGTGCACTAAACTGCCTATGACTGGCCATTCTCCCTGTGTTTCTGGAAAATAATTCACGATGGGTTTTAAATGGAAACTAACCCAATTCTTGAAGTAGAAGCTGCTGGAAATGAAGGCTGACAATGAGAGAGGCATCCTCACATCCCACACTGCCATCCCTCCTAGGCCTGTGCCCAGGGGGCTGAGCTGTTTAAACTCAGGGCCCAACTCCTGTCAGGGTCTTCAAGGACAGACCCACCCTGTAAATGCACCCAGAAGGGAGCATGAGAGGGGCCGAAGGGCCTGAGAGCCATGACCCATGACCCGACCTGACCCATGTGCCTTATGCCTCAGAGCATAGTTGTTGCTTTTTAAGGCTACTCAGAACCTTGATCCTCTTCTCACATCTGAGGTTTCGTTGTTGTTTTTTAATTATACTTGTATTGATTTCAGAAAGGGAGAAGAGAGATATAGACATCAGTGATGAGAATCATTGATCAGCTGCCTCCTGCACACTGGGGACCCAGCCTGCAACCTGGGCATGTGCCCTTGACTGGAGTCAAACCTGGGATCCTTCAGTCTGCAGGTCAATGCTCTAGCCATTGAGCCAAACCAGCTAGAGCACATTTGAGGTTCTTAAAAGCACTCCAGCCCTACTGGAGTGGAGGCCTCTGGAGGGAGGCCCTGCAGGCGGTCCCCACTCTGCCAGGCCTACCCCCAAACCCTAATTTGATCAGAAGAGAGCTGACCCATTGTTTCTGTCCACGGGCTACCTTCCCACATGCCTGCCCAAGCCTGCTTCTCCCTGCTGTGGCTCCACGTGCCCCTGGGATGCGCTCTCTCCTTAGCCAGCTGGTGACCACTGATGAGAGGACTGCAGACTCTCATCTGCTCTGTTCCCTCCAGGAAGACACTAGCCAGGCACTCAGTTCTGGTGCCAGCCCTTCCCTCTGCCTGTGGCTGTCCTTCCTTGGGGAGGCTGACGGCCCTGCCCCAGGCGCCACCTGCAGGTCTTCTCTGTCACTGCCTCTAAACAGGTTTGCTCAGAGCTCAGTCGAGGATGACCCAAGATCTCTCAAATAGGCACAAGTTCTCACTGATGGCACCCTGCCCACTCGCCCCTCCAGAGGTGCCAAGACTTCATAAATCTTCCTTGAGAACTGCCCAGGCCAGGTGGCTCAGGTGGTTGGAGCGTTATCCCCCAAACCAAAAGGTTGCAGGTTCAATCTCTGGTCAATGTCTCTCTCTCTCTCTCTTTCTCTCACTTAAAAATCAAAACAAAGAAACATATCCTCAGATGAGGATAAAAAGTAATTATAATAAATAAATAAGTCTTTCTGGAAGCTGAATGCTGAAAGCAAAATGCTCAAACGTAATTAGTGCTTATTTCCCTGCTTAGTTCAACAATATAGAAATGACGACTAGAGACCATAAATAAAACACATGCTTTATAAAGAACATTTGTAGGATAGTCCCTACAGAGGGAGGGGGGTGGAGCAAAGTCACTGCTGAAATCTGTGGTCTCTCTACGATACTGGCAACCGGTGTCATCCCGCCGTAACCCAAAGGACGGAGACATGAAGGGTGGCAAGGCCCGCTCTCTGGCTCAGTCGTCACTGGTGCTTATTTCTGTTCTTGGTACTTTTAAATCCTCTCGATGCACCTTGACCAAAACAGACGGTGGAAGGTATTCTGAAATGGAAAAAATCTTTAGACGAAAAACTCATACTTCTACCAACTAAAAGCCCAATTCCAGCTGTCTTTTCCTCTTCTCCCAGAATGCGCTTTCACTCATGGGACATTGCTAATGGTGGCTCTTCCTTCCTGCAGACTCTGCTCTGGGGCCCTGGGGCAGCTCCTTACTGCAGCTGGCCAGTGCCTCTGACCCGCTTCCTATGGGGACCGGCTCCCACCAAGCTCTCCAGAGCTGACTTCCTGTCGCCCTCCCTGCACTGAAACCCTAACGGCCCACTGGCATCTGGACTCACTCGCTGGCCACAGGCCAGGCAGCTGTGTGACGGCAGCGAAGGGACACGAGTCCTTTTCACATCAGTCTGGATTCCTTGGTGATTTTTTTCATTTGTCCAACATTTCCCCCAAATTAGATGTGAACTCAAGTTTAACCCAATAAAAGTGCAGTTATATTAGAAAGACAGACTCACGGTTGTAATTTAAGCAATTACACTAAGTTACTATCCTCGAGACCGAAACAGCCAGACTCCACCTCCCACAGACGCTCCCAGATGAGCCGGCATCTTTTCCTCCCGGCGCCTGGACAACCTCAGCAACGCAGCCACTGACCTGTGGCGGGAGGTCCGCTTCTCGCCCACGGGTTCTGGGGGCGGCGCCACGTGGTCAGAGCAGACTTCCATGGTGTCCCCATCGTCCCTCATGGCTTCTGCCGGCACTTGCATGGCAGCCAGGGGAGAGGCTGGGCTGTGGGAAGCAGAGGGGCTTGCAGGGCTCAGCCGTGCTTTGGGGCAGCTCAGTCCCATCTGCCGTAGAAATGAATTCACCAGAAAGACTTTTCCTGCAGACATTTTATCACTATTTTGGCATTGTGTGATTTTTTTAGGCTACCAGAATAAGGAGAAGGATTATGGCAAGGTCAAAAGTGAACATTATGATGCCACTTTTTATAAATTTAGGTATAACAATTCACTTTGCCTTTATTTATTTATTTATTTATTTATTTGTTTATTTATTTATTTATTTTCTGGTTAAACGTCACCAGAGGCTATTTTTCCATTGTATTTTAGAGAGACTGGAAGGAAGGGGGAAAGATAGAGACAGAGAAACATCGATGTGAGAGACATATATCGATTCTGTGTGTATATACTCAAAAGACTTCTCTGAATTCCAGGGGTGGCCACACATACCCTTTGGCTTTCTTTGGTTTATCAAACCGGAAGTCCCCAGGGTAGAGGTGATGTCTCACGAGGTGGTCCTTCCTGTCTTTGCTGGTCTTGAACTTCTCTGTGCAGCCCTCCACCAAGCACTGATACTAAAACAGAAATGGTGTCCTGCCATCCACGGGATGGGGGCTGGAGAGGGAAGGTGCCCTGTCCTGCCCCTCCCAGGAGTGAGAGCTCTGACCCTTAGGCAGACTGCTCCAGCCCAAGCCCCCGGCTGACTGCATCACCCACCATGTCCTGCCGCTCAGACAGGACCTGGAACAAGGAATCGTGCCACTCCAGGATGTGGATGTCCAGCAGATGCCCCGAGGGGAAGGCCCGCTTGCAAAAGGAGCACACGTTTCTGTGCAGAGTGTGGTAGTGATGCTCATAATCCTCCAGGGTGTCGAATACCTGGCAGCAGCCCGCCATCTGACAGGTGAACTCAGGCACCCTGGCAAAGGAAACCACGGCTGGCTGACGAAAAACATTAGGCTGTTCACAACTTCCCTTTAAATGGTCTGTAAAGCTCGGAATGTTTCTTTCCCAATTCCAAATCTTGCTTTCTTTTTTGTAGATTTCTTTTGCTTTCTTTTAAAAAATTATTGATTTTTATTTTTTAAAATAATTTTTAAATTTCGTTTTATTTTAATATATTTTATTGATTTTTTACAGAAAGGAAGAGAGAGGGATAGAATTAGAAACATCGATGAGATTGATCCCTGCCTCTTGCACACCCCCTGCTGGGGATGTGCCTGCAACCAAGGTACATGCCCTTGACCAGAATCGAATCTGGGACATTTCAGTCCCCAGGCCGATGCTCTATCCACTAAGCCAAACCGGTCTTGGCAAAATTATTTATTGATTTTTAGAGAGAGAAAGGGAGAGGAAGAAAGAAACATCAATTTGTTACTTATGCATTCATTGGCTGATTCTTGTGCGTGTCCTGACCAGGTTCCCTGAAACCTTGGCCCATAAGGACGACGCTCTAACCCACTGAGCTACCCCGCCAGGGCCCAAATCTTTCTTTGTTGAGAAGTTAATTTTCAAAGACCAGCCAGGTAGTGGAGAACTCAACAAAGCGGGGCTGGGATGGTGGTTCAAGCAGAGAGTGAGCGCTGTGACAGGACACCAGGGAGGGGCAGGACTGGGGGCTCGGGAGGAGACAAAGTGGGGTGCGAGGAGAGGCAGCGCTGGGTGCAAAGCAGCTCACCTGGGCCTCTCGGGGACCCCGGCGACCCCCGTAAGCACATCCTGGAGGTAGAGGTGCCGCTGCACGTCCCCTTCCTGCAGAACACCGTGGGCGCAAAACTGAAGGTCCCGCCCCGCCGGGCTCCGCCCCGCCCCGCCCCGCGGAGCCCCAGGCCCCGCCCCGCGGAGCCCCAGGCCCCGCCCCGCGGAGCCCCAGGCCCCGCCCAAGCCCCGGCCCCGCCCCGCGGAGCCCCAGGCCCCGCCCCGCGGAGCCCCAGGCCCCGCCCCGGCCCCGGCCCCACAGCTGTAAGCCCTGCCCCTAGGTCACTCCCCTTTCCTCCACTGACGCACCTCAAAGAACTCATGCTCCCGCGGGAAGCGCACCAGGCGCGCTGCAAAGCGGAAAGGCGCGGCCCCGGCCGCGGGGTCTCGCTCCACGGGCAGCGGCTCAGCCGCCCGGGGCCCCGCCGCCAGCCGGGCGTGCACCGCGGGCGGCAGCTGCATCGTCCAGGTCGCCGCGGAGCCACAACCTGTCGGCCACCGTCCAAGAGCTTGCCGGGGCCGGAAGTGACGTCGCGCGCCACTTCCGCTTCCGGCTCAGGCTGCGCGGCGGATTTTGGCGGGTGTGAGCAGTGGCGCGGCGCTGGCGGTGAGTGCGGACGGGCGCTCGGGGGCCGTGCGCGGCGGGGCTGCCCTCGGACCCGACCCCAGCTCGTGCGGAGCAGAAGCCGTGCTTTGGGGCAGCTCAGTCCCGGAAGGGAGCGCCGCGGTCCTTCCCAGATCCCAGTGGTGCAGGGTTCCTCCCGCAGAGTTTGGTGCTTGTGCATTGTGAACTGTAATTACATCCGGAGAACCTGTTTTCCACCCCCAAGATCACAGTTACGATTAATTCATTAGCTGTAATTAGCTGTGGAGTGTGGGCTGGGTCTGCTTGGTGTTTTGTTTTGACTTGTGGTGTCTTCACTGCAGCTGTCAGCACAGGGGCTCCTAACCTCTTTGGGGTCACAGAGCCTTTGAGGATCTATTGAAAAAGCCTCTCAGGAAATTCACAGAGAGACTTGACCTTGATAACAGTTTTTTTGTTCATGAATCTGAAGTTAAGAACCTGACGTAGGTAGATTGAAATATTTATGTGAAGCGTGTAAAATTTGCTCATCTGTATTTTTTTAATCGATAGTTAATTACCACCGTGTGTTTATTCACTCCCTTTTATCCGCACTGTTGATGGTGATGGCTAACTGGGCCAGTCATCAGTGAGAGAACAAGCTGCCGTGCAGGCCACTACTGCCCCCTTGGGAATATAATAATCTCAGTTATAACTTTGATGCCCGAGCGTTCTGTATCTAATGGGAGACCATGGGACAACTGATTGACAGGGTAGACTGAGCTGAAGTGGAATCTCACTCAACTCAGATGCACAGGAAATGTGTAGCAATTTTCCCCAAAGCTGCTGCATACACAGCCAAGCTTGGGCAAGAGAAGGAAATGTCCTAGGTACCAGAGTGCAGAGAACACACAAACCTGAAACCGCGCAGGATTTGTGAACCAGGTGTGGGCCTCGTGGACTGGAACAGTTAAATACCCACCTGGGACGGGGGCAGTAGCTTAGGCCTGTGTAGGTCAGGTCCACTGGGTCTGCCCAGCCAAGACAAGAAAATTGTCTGCCAGCCACTGGCCCAGAGCCTGCGTGGTGATGTCACCCAGAGTGAAGGAGGGCCCAGGCCTTGGAGTCTGCACTGTGCACCTGCCCGCTCGGAGCTGAGGAGTGGGCCTAGAATCTGGCTGGAGTGTGGGTTGCCAAAGGGAGCCTGTCCACTGCAGACTGTGCTGTAAGAAATATTAATAACAAACCCTACCAGAGGGCGCCGCCTGCAGGGAGAGGAGAACACTCCAGTGAGCCCTACGGGGAGTAGACAGCCGGCTGTCAGTGGTTATGGTGGTCTACAAGGGGCATCGTGTGGCCCACATGGTGATTTTGTTTCTCAGACCTGACATTGGCCAAAACTGGTTGCTTTCAAAGTTTCTTATTAACAGGGTTTTGTTTTATAAATAGCTTTCCTCCTGTCTTTAGGAGAACATACTGTGATGTCTCAGGGCCAAAACCATGAGTGAATTTCGGATTCACCACGATGTCAATGAGCTGCTCAGCTTGCTGCGTGTGCATGGAGGGGATGGGGCCGAGGTTTACATTGATCTCCTGCAGAAGAACAGGACCCCATACGTCACAACCAACGTGTCCGCACACAGTGCCAAGGTGAGTGCCCATCCCTGCGCTGCTCTGTCACTGGTGAAGACAGCCCGTCCCTGTGCTGGGCACAGAGCTCATCTTCCTGGCTCCTGGGTGGCCCTAGCAGTGCAAGTGATGACGTCAGACAACATGGCAAGTACTTTCCTTGGACCAAGTGTCTGCTCAGCTCAGTGCTTCTACTGACGCAGTGGCCACACTGAAATCTCTTTAAAGTGTATTGTTTTTCTTTATTCAAAAAATATATGGTTCAAAATCATAGATCTGCAGTAAAAGGTAACTTTGAAATCTTTTTAAAAACACATTAAGAAGCTTCAGTTATTTAGCCAGTTTAATACTGGCACAGGATAATTAGAAAAATTCAGTGAGTCCTGGCCAGTGTTGTTAAATGGTTAGAACATCGGCCAGACACCAAAGGGTTGTGGGTTCGATTCCTGGTCAAGAGGGACAGGACATATCCAGGTTGCAGATTTGATCTCCAGCCCTGGTTGGGGAATATGCAGGAAACAACCAATTAATGTGTCTCTCACATTGATATTTCTCTCTTTCCCTCTCCCCCTCCCTCTTCCCTTCTTTCCACTCTAAAAATTCGTGGGAAAAATATCCTTGGTGAGGATTAACAAAGAAAAGAAAAAAGATTCACTGAGCACACTAATTTAGGAACACACATTATGTTTAATCTATTTCAAAGGGAGCATTAAAAGCCAGTGAGAAAACTTAACCCCTGAGCCAGTACCTAATAAATAAATTCAAGAGGGAACAGAAAAATTAAGGCATAAGCTACCAGGGGGAAAATTCATGGTTATTCTGTGACATATGGCTTGGGAAGGGAAACCTTGGAGGAAAACGTTTCCACAAATTATTTGAGGAGTCTTCTTAGTTTTATTTTAGCAATATATGATTATTATTTAGCCTACCTAATTTTACTCCATTTGGCTTTTTGTGTTTAATTTTCTGAAAGTTCTTAGTGATTGTCACTAAATCACTTGTATTTGTTCTTTTGAGGTTAAAATAGCAGAATTTTCTCGTACTCCAGAAGACTTTCTGAAGAAATATGATGAATTGAAATCGAAAAACACAAGGAACCTTGACCCACTGGTGTACCTGTTGTCAAAGCTCACGGAGGACAAAGAGGTAACTTGTGCTCAGGGTCAGGCACATCAGGGAAGGCGCGTGGGGAGCTTGCCTTGTGGGCAGTTCCGGCGAGTGTTGTAAGCACACAGGTTTGCACGGTGGAGGTAGCCTCGTGACCCTGCTATCGCAGGTGCCCCTCCTGTTGCTCTGCCCGCCTGCCGGAATGAAAATAGCTCAGAGTGGTAGTCAGAAACACGGGAAGTACTGACAGTTACTCGGGGTGAGGGGGAAGCTTTTTTGTTGTTTTCTTGTGCCGTGTTTTTTGTTAAAGTTGTGTACTTGATGCTAAGGAAAGCACATATTGAGCTGGATGAGCCATGGCACATGGGTGCGCTCAGGAATACATTAGGTCCTTCCTCCTGCTTCCCAAGCTCAGGGTCTATTGAGAGGTGCAAGCGCACCCTCCAGTGCCAAGTACAGATAGGGGGCGAGTCATGTGTAGAGAAAAAGCAGTGTCCCTGGGAATGGAGTTTGGGAATTGGCTGTGAAAGCAGCGGTAGTGTCCCTCCTTGTGAGCAGAAGACTTGAACCTGCTGGCAGGAAGCATTGGCAGAGCAGACTGCAGCTTGAGGACTGACGGGAGCCCCTGCTCTCATGCTTCATGTGGTCCTTGGGGCTGGAAAAGAAAGGGGTGGGGTGTCGGTGCCAGGCAGAGTGCAGACGTGTGCGGCCCCTTGTCATTCAGGGTTCTGTGTGCGCAGACTCTGCAGTATTTACAGCAGAATGCGAGAGAGAGAGCCGAGCTGGCAGCCACGGCGACTGCCGGCAGCACCACCAGCTTCAGCGCCCCCGCCACGGCCTCCAGGATCTCCATGCAGGAGCTCGAGGAGCTGAGGAAGCAGCTTGGCAGCGTGGCTACGGGCTCCACGTTGCAGCAGGTACTGTGACCCGCCACCCACACGCCCACACTCACTGCAGCGGGGACGGGAGCGCCAGCAGGGGGTGCACGTCTCCTGGTCATCTGTTAAAGATGAATCTGAACGTGGAGATGCTGATCGGGACCAGTGGTGTGTGGACAGGATCCTGGGCATGGTGAACGGCAGGAAGTTCTGTCCCACCCAGGCAGTTTGTGGGTTCAGCCAATGCAGTTTCCATTTCCCTCTGTTAATTTTTAACCATTAGTTCTTTATTAAATTTATACCTTATAGACATTTTTCTCTAGATCGTTTTCTTCTATACTTACTGCTCTTCCTTGCTTCTGAGTTTATGTACTGCTCTCTCCCTTTGATGTATGTTATCTGCTCACAGCACTGCCCCTGGCCTTCAAGCCCCACAGAGCTGTGTCCCCATGAGGGTGTGCGTTTAGTGTGTGCTTGTTGAGCACAGCAGCTGTGAAAGGGACAGTGGCCAGCACTGGTGGGCATGTGCTGGTCCACACCTCACAAAGCCCTCACACCGACACCCCGTGTGACAGATGAGGAAACTGGGTTGGCACCTGCCTTTCTCACTACTCCTGAGCCAGTGCTTCTGAAAGCCACCTCCATGGCCCTGGTCGTCATCTGGTGGCCAGTCCCTCAGGAGGACACTGCTCTGTGCATGTGCCTGGAGCCAGCCTTTCCTGGTGTGGCCCTCTCCATCCATCCTTGTACCCAAGGGGCTCCCCTTCTCCAGCCATCTGTTTTTAGGGCCTGTCTTCACCCAGCAGCCCATGTCTAGACCTTGAACTGCCAGGAGAAAGCACAGGTGTTCCGAGGTGCCCTCACTGCCAGTGCTGCTTAATATGTGGGCCTGCACAGACCCACACCCTGTCAAGGGCCTGGGTCCTATCTCTTTTGCCCCCAGCCCCTTGCATGGGGACGGGCTGGGAGTCATTTCATTGATACATGTACTTATCGAACCCTCGTGCTCAGTGATGTTAGTTTTAACTGTTTGTACTAAAAGTATATCTTTGTTTTTCACTTTAAAAAAAAATTCTCACCAGTCTCTGGAACTTACAAGAAAGATGCTTCGAGACAAGCAGAACAAAAAAAATTCAGGCCAGCGCCTCCCCGTCTTCCCTGCCTGGGTGTACGAGCGGCCCACGCTGGTCGGGGATTTTCTGACCGGCTCAGGCCTAAGCACGGACACAGCTGTGCCTATCGGTACGTGAAGCACTTACTTCTAACTGCCTGTGTGGTGACTCCAT